AAACAGAACATTACAGTTATCAAGTTTCATATACAATAAAAATGTCCCACGAAAACAGCATGTTCTATTTGATCCTATTTGTAGGATTTTTGTCTGTTATTAAGGCAATTTGGTATCAATTTTTTGTCTTGATTCCTGTAAATGCATCTTCTACATATACAATCCACTTGCATTAGCTTAAAAAGCAAATTTCATCAGGGCACAATTTTAGAAGTATAGAGGTACAGTATTAGTCGATGTCTTTAGGGAATTACTTCCCCTCCCACCAAATTTAAAATATATGTATCTATTCTGGGTTTTATATGCTTTGAGACAAAGATTAATAAAGATTTCCAAACAGAGAGAGACGTTGATCTCACCCTTGAAAAGTCTGCTTTTTAAGAAGCACCAGCAAAACTCCATGCTCCTATCTTCCCAAGCATCTCTACCACACCGCTTCAGTCTCCTGTAAGGAACCAACCACAAAACCAGTGTTGCAGAGCCTCCTGAAGATCGTCACTTTCCAGCTAACCTGGGTGAGTAGTATCAGAAACAGAAGATGGATGTTCGGAGCTGAGAGGACTCTGAGTTTCCTGGTTTCCAAACCCCTTCTGCAAGCACTGTTTATAGCTGCTTGCAGTATTAAACTCCAGCTTGAGCAATGTACTTACATTTGTGTGCAATTCCCAAATTATACAGCAACGGGCAAAGGACTACTCATGAATTCGAAGCTATTTATAATATCGCAGAGTCAGGAGCTTCCTGAATTAAGTCAAGATTTCCAGTATAACCACTTTGACCGCAGCGTTGTTTCACTAGCAGTAGCAGTAATACAGCACACACCGTCACTTCTGACTGGTCCTTCCCTCAGAGCAAATTGTTCCAAGTTCAGAATGACCACACCAATTAAGAAGGTGTTGCTATTTACAATGCTCACAGTGACTTGAACCTCAGGAAGTCCAAACACACCACAAAACCACCAAAACCAATCTCCATGTTATTCATGGTGAAAGATAATGATTTGGCAAGACTAAATGACATGCCCAGGATGATACACACTTAAGAGCTGGGAATGCTACACTGGAGTGACAGCTGGTAACATTTACTTTCAAAACGCTGGTGAGAACTGAAGTACTGAAAATCTTAACTATTGTACAAAATGAACCCGTGGGATTCACTGAGTTAGTAGCCATGACTTCTAAATTGAGCTTTACCATTTGCTCACCATCTCCTTTTCCTCTGTCCTCCTCTGTGAATTACATTCCCATCAGCAAAAACAGGCCCAGAAATTTGATGCAACTTGCCCAAGATGGCCCAGCCAGTACCCAGTTCCCTGCAGGTCAAAATACAGATTGCAATGCAAGTGACGTTATTTTGGAATTAATATTGATGTACTGGCTACTAATAAAATCCAAAGTATTCGTAACTTGTGACAGCTGCTACTGAAGAAGGCAGTTTCAGTTGCTGTTTCTTTTTAAACATAATGAAACCATACAAAACTTGATGAAATACAAGGACTTCCATAAACTGAAGCAAAAAAAGTATCAAAACTATGTTCTTACATGCTCTTTCTTAGCATATCACAGTATCTCTCATGCTTTATTCTTGGTGCCAGCTCGACTGTATGTTTCAGTAGAGTCTTGCACCGAGCTAGTTACTTTGAACTTCTGCTTTTAGTTATCATCTAGAAATATTTGGTCTGTGAAAATACTGCAAAGTGTTAATATTTTAGAAATTGATTTCTGATGTCAACACCCCAACTATAATTGCACTATTTTCAACCTTTAGTGACAATGTGAACAATCAGTTTCATGAGTCTATAAAGTAAAACCCCCACAAACACAAAATAATCCTAATAACAGTGTTTTACTCTTTTATTTCGCCATTTTTTTTTGCACAAAAACTAAAGCAGGGTGTGTGGGGTAAATGGTGAGCAATGTTTGTGCCAGCTCAGACACCATTTCAAGATTTCATATAAAAGCAAAAGCCGATTTTAAAATTCATCTGTGGTTGTTAGCAGTGTTTCACATGTGGGTATGGAATTTTAAATGGTCATTTAAAACTGTAAAGCTAATTAATCAATCTGTTACAAAGCAGGAATAGTTTAGTCTGTATTTTCTAATGCCACCGCGATGTGATTCCTTTCTGACAGACTATAATAAAAGAATAAATTTTAATAAGACTTTAAATGATGGCTGTAGTTAACTTCATCCTAAAGGTGTTTTCAGCATCCACATTGCTGAGATGAGCACGGATTTTTATCCTGCTAGATAGGTAGCTTTTAATCCAAGAAGATGCCTTCAAAGACAAAAGCCAACACATGTAACCATTCACACAAACATGAATCCTGACTCTGTCACAATCTGCTTTGGAGGTATCCACATTTCACAATGATGGTTAAATGTTTGTAGGACAGGCAAAGGCCTTAATGGACCAGAGTTTTAAACTTTCTGACTTGTCAAGTTGTTATACTGTGAAATGACACTCAAGGTCTGCCTCTATCTGACTGTCTTCATTGTGGAAGCAACTGGCACACTTGGATCAGACTCTCAGACCAAAAGGGTGTCTTCAGTCAGGTATTAACACCTTTGGCCAAACTGTAAACTTTGTCTCTCCCTCTTCAAATCGCTTCCAGGCAAGCTTGTCTTCAGAACATGGGGCATTTGGTAGCCCTGATGGCTTGAGCACATGCTTGACACCACAGTCTGATACGATGAACAGAACTTTAAATCTTCAAGGGATCAAACACTACCAGCATGCTTACTGCCCTGATCATTCACAGCTTGATTTACAGTCTGCTCTAGTCACTGACAGAGAAAAGAATGAACTGTCAGTTCCTAGATGATGCTCAGCATTGCAATGAAATTTTTATAGCCCAATTGCTTTTTATTTGAAAACTAATTTTCAATGTGATTTTTAATGCAATTGTTTCTTAATGTGCAGTAACAATTAATTTGCTTTAAGTTGCCTAAGATTTTCCTAACATGGTAGATAAGTGAGAGACAACTGCAATTTACAGGACAGCCTGATTTACTTCCTCACACACATACACAAAAATATTTCTTGTTTGTAATTTAGAGGACCCCTGAAGTTACAATAAAAACTTCTGCCCTTTCCCCCTGGCACCAGCCAATTCTACCCAACGTTTGGAAGGATTCATGAACCTCTGAACAGACCCTGCATTTCAGTTTACAGGCACAGAGGAAGGCCTCGTTACTTGCGGACATCAAGGAGAGAGCAATGTGAACGATAAGCCACCTTTCTACTTTCATCTCCCACTCACTTTTGATGTCCTGATGCAACAGCGCACTGGCAAGGTGTCATGGGGGGAGAGATTCCCAAACTCACAGTAGGCTAGAATTGTCTTCCTCAGAGCGACCTTTACAAACTAAAATAGCAATAAGCCATTTGCCAACCTGCAAGTTATGATCTCTATGAAATGACAGTGCCCAAGTCTCCAAATCACTTCCACACAAACACCTGCAATGCTGGCAAATATGCACATGTGATAAAAATTTGCAGTGTGTTTAGTACATGTAGTTTACTATGGATCTCCTCCCTTTCTTGTCTGCAGTCTTCTCCTGCTCTCCAGTTCCCCCAGGAGTTCAGATTATTCTGCATTTTCCCCATCCTGTTCCATGCACATACTGCTTTATGTCTCCTTTCCCCTCTCACATACTCTTTTACTCCTGCACTCTCATCCTACCCTAACTTCCTTTCCCTTTTTCCCTGCCCCACAAATCCAGCTCCTTTAAATTTCTGATCCTTTGAAGATCTCTCATTTTATTCTTCCCACTAAGCTCAATGATAACTCCATTTCCCCAATAAAATCTTGTCCTTTTTCCTACCTACACATAGGTGGGATTGCTCGCCCTTTTACCGCACACAGTCCCTGGATGCTCTTTAGGAGAGGAGGACAAGGACCACTCTTCTCTCTTTCCAGAATGGACAGTTCCTTGGTACATCGTGCTCTCCCTCCGAGAGGAGCTTCTCAAGAGGCATTTCTCTGGCAGGGTCACAAAGCAGGCTGACAATAGCTTTCCTCGCTGCACAGGAAATGCTCTGATGGTAATTGACTCTCTTCCCCAGGCAGAGTATCAAAGTGCGAATCAAGGCTTCCCCTGGAATTTGGATTCGGTTGCCCGAGCTAGAACAATAATGGAGATGCTAGACAGGCTTGATAATGGCTTCTATTTTAACTTCTGCCTTTATTTTTTGGAGCTGCCTGTCACTTGGCATTACTATGGTGCTTGCTGACCAGTGATATGTTTGTTTTCTTGTACTCCCTGCTTTTGTGCAGCTGTATTCCTCTACAGACTCCTCTAATACCTTCACTGCAAGCTGTGGGGCAGGATGATTCCTGCACTATTTGCACAGCCGAGTCCAGTGGGGGCCAAGGCCCCTTCAGTGCTCTGTTAATACACAGCATCTAAAGCTTGGGTCTGGTCGCAGAACAAGGGGGACAGTATTGGCAGGAAATGAGACCTTTCCTCGCTCCCCCGAGCCTGCCTACTGCCTTGTATCAGACAGAGCAAAAAGCAAAACGGGCAGGATGGGCGCAAGGAAGGAATTGAAACAGTGCCCAAGTGAATGGAAAGTATCCAGATGGCTGTGGTAACTCACACGATGGGAGTAAAAGCAAAACAAAATGAAAACAAAACCATATGCCATGTACCCTTCGCTCTCTTGCTCTCTTTCTCTCCCTGCCTTTCTCCTGGCTGTTGCCCCAGGTCTTTCTATCAGTACAGATAATAGTATGTTACTCAATTATGTGTATGTCATGAATAACAATAACCCTTTTTTACATTAGAGATCATGGATTATGACTATCCATGTGACAAAGAATGTAATATGAACCACAAAATGATACTCATGTAAGGGTCAAGAAGTGTAAGGGTCTACAACGGGAGTTGTATTTCTTCATCAAATCCTTCTTTTTATCTGGTACGCTGTATACTTATAAAAGAGAATATTAACTTTACATGTCTATGTTGCTATATGCTATAGAAATATCTACTCACAACCTGCTTGTATCTCAGGGGGAGTATTCAAAAGCATCATGGCAGTGGCAGCATCAATGTCAGGATCTGGAAAAATCAACCAATAAATACATTATTTACAACTGGGCTAATCTTCTTGCCCCCATTGCTAAACTATAGGTTCAACCAAATCTCTGCAGTGAAAAGGTATGAGAGTTCATTATTCAGCGGGCTTGTTGGTCACACATTGAATTTACCCCCAAACTTGCATGTGACCCCATTGCTATTATTAAACAGAGTGCAGTGCTGAATGTCACCAAACCATACTCCTGTGTACACGACACCTTCGCTGTTAGCCTCATGAATTTGCTATTTAATTCCGTAGAGAATATTTAGATTTCATTACAATGGGTCTGTGAAAGCAGGTGCAACATGACAATTTGGAAGCAACACAGAGGGATGAGCTGACAGTAGAGTGGGAAAGCATAAAGAACACCTACACCTGCGCAAGTACAGAAGATGACACTCGATCATTTCAATTTGTTGATAAGGATTTCAGCGATGTTTGAGAAAGTGTTGGAAGCCAAACTGCTACAATTAAAAGGAAAAAAAAAAAAAGAAACTAGCATTTCATTGAAGCACCAACTTATTTGCATCCTCATCCATTGTCACTTTAATATAAGCAAAAATCATAGGCTGGCTGCTGTTAATTCTTAAGTTGGTTTCTGAATCCATCACAAACAGTCAGTTGACAGATGGTAAGTTATAGAGACAGAATAAAATATGATCCTTTTACAACTATACTCACTTGCTTCACACACAGCAGCTCGGCTGCTATGGAAATGTAGGTAGCTATGACAACAGTAAACAACCCCACAACGGCCACTGAATGAGCTGAAAAGAACATCTGCCCCAGCAAAGCGTCCCAGCTGCCCTGGGGCACAACTTGCTAATCGTGCAGTGATGCCGTGTGACAGAGAAAGCCGCCTATGCCATGTCCAAATAAATGAAGTGTGCAATTGAAGCAGACATAAAAACGCACACCCTGGCCGACTGCTGCCTCTATGCTGCTAAACTGAATGACTAATGAGTATGCATTTGTTGTTTGGGTTTTTTTTTTCAGCTTGTCAGTATTTATACTAAATTACATGCCAAAAAATTCAATTTACTACTAATAGCTTCATGGCACTTTATTTTGGCTATTATGTCAGAAAATTACTTTTCACTGTTAAAAATATATGTATATTGTACCCTTATATATTTCAAATTATTTCCAGTAATGTGATGCGGTAAAAAGTCCTGCAATTTATTAACAATACAAATGACATAGAGTGGATTTCAACATCTTCTTAAGCAAAACAGAAGTTCACTTGACTGATGAAGGAAAAAAAAGGGATTTTTTTATTAGTTTAAATATTTTTAATTTTCTGTGAATAGCTTGAACCACACTTCTAATTGCTACTCTTACTATTTAACTGCTGAAACAGTAAACAGAGCAACAGTGTAGCGGGGATAAGACTAAAGTTGAAGCAGCAGCAGACTGAATTAGTAGAAAAGGTGCCCACACACTGGAGAGCAGGTGCCTGTCTGCTCCTGGACAGGTCAGCATAGCCTTTTCCAAGTCACCAGCAGACTCCTCAGAAAAGCAGCTTTACCAACTTATGTTCATCTTCAAGTCTGAAGATACATTCAAAAAGCAGTATTCCT